TATAGTGATTTCATTCTATTTCCCTTATTTATATGAAATACATTAGAGAAATTGAAACTTTTTAGTTCAGGCCTAAAATTAAGTTTTATTTGAGATTTTAATAATTAATAAACGCTTTTAATATTATAAAGTGATTATTTTCATCATTTATAGAAACTCAAATGATTGATATTTTTCATAGATTTTAACAGTAATTACTCATATAATTTACAAAACCTAATTGAATTACAAATTCTAATACTTTCAAAATTAAATGATCAAGTTTATGAAATAATAACTGTAAAGTTTCTTATGATTCTTTTTTTTCAGGATCTTCCTTATGTCCTGATGCTCTTCCTCTTATTTTTTTTTACTAGATCTTTTTCTTTTGTATATTAGATAATTTAAAGAATCAAATTAAAGCATAACTTACAAATACTTTAGAAGATTTATTTTAATTATATTTAGAAAAAGTTCATCATTTAATTTCCTTCCGTCTTTTAGGCTGATGTTTATTGGGAAATAAATAATTGTAATGACATATTGAAAGGAAATACATCTATTTATTTAAAAATACGTTAGTACTTTAGTTTTTTTAAATACCCATTTTCCAATCTTTATCTAATTTCCCTCATTATCATAAGCTCCACCACCACTGAAGGCAGATATTTTAAAATTTACATAAATTTGTATTCTCCGTTTCCATTTCTATCACATATAATATCCCATCTCTCTACCTTCATATTATTCAAATAATATTCACCCTAATATGTAATTTATTTTTAATTAGAAAACCTATCATCCAATTCTACCCATTTTCCAATCTTTTTCAAATCTCCCTCATAAATTCATAGTATCCCATTTACCTACCTTCAGACCATTCTAGTTGTATTCACCCTCATAAGTTATTTATTTTTCATAGTAAAAGTCTAAATCTACCCATTTTCCAATCTTTCTCTCATTTCCTTCTTCATTGTTAAATCCCCCACCTCTAACCACAAATAATAAATTCCTTTAACTTATTTATTTGTTATTTACGTTTATTATTTTTATCCCATGTATTTACAAAATATATCCCATCTACCTATCCTCTTACCAATCACATTATAATAACCTACATAGATCACCTAAGAGTTTTCAAAAAAATTGTCATATTTATCTACCCATTTTCCTTATTTTTCACCAAAACAGTTGTATTCTCCTCCACCTCTATAGAATTAATAAGTATATGAAATACGTATGTCAATCCTTTTAAATGAATTTCCAGGTTCCCTTTTTCTTGTCATTTTGGTATTCACCTACTTCATATACCTAGGCTAAACTATTTATGACTTATGAAAGGCATTACCTCCAATAATTTTTTATGGGTTGTTTCCAATAGCCTGATTAACTACCATCATCTAAGTATAGTCTATTTATAACACTAACTTCTACTCACCTCTAACATTATCTAAAAGTTGACCTTGCCAAAAAGTGTTCCACTTCACAATTTTATGATTATTTTATTCATATTTTCCAGACCAATTACGAAATCTTTTTATTCTATATTGTTCATCAATTGTGATTAAATAGAACTATTTAGATTATATTGTTCTTATTTCCCCATCTATTGTATATTATATTTCTTAATTATCTGTAATTGCAATTTGGTATTTAGCTTACTTAAATATGTGGACGATCTTTATCCCAAATAAACTTTTAAATTCTTTGGATTCGACATTCCATTTAATTGAAAGTTGCTTAATTCTAAATAAATTTCATTTTATTGATTACTTATATTTCGAAGAGGATTATTATATTTATTCTTTTATCTTCTTGTTAAAAGTGCTAATATCTTCTTCTAACTAAATCTTAGAAGTCCTTAGCTTACTTAAATAATAATTTTTTAAAGTATTCTAAATTATTTCCAATCAAAATTTAAACCAATTTTTATATGAGGATTCAAATAAATTGGAATTTTTTTAGAGAAGTTAAATATACTAATCCTCTTCCTATTCAATTAAATCAAAAATATAAGTTTAAAATGAAATACATTTATTATTATTGTTCCAATCTTATTTCTGACTAATTGATATGCTGATCTCAAATTTAAGAAAAATAGATTTAATGAAAAATACATTTTTTTAATTCAAAATAGTTTGAATTAAAATTTATTGAAAAGACTCAAAATTATCGAAAAGCGCCTATTTGGGTAAATAAATAATAAATAAAGGATCCAATAATATGATAAATACAATGTTAAGATTATTCATTGTAATACAGGTCTCAACTTGTGTTGTTTATTAATTTTTTTAGGATTTTAACAATAAATCTATTGATTTAACAAATAGCAAATGGAGTTGTTGCAACAACAATACAATTCAATCAACTACAAATATTTATCAATGTTCAAACGGAATTTAATTTGTAAGACTATCTAAAAAGCAAAACCCATGTCATTTAATTCATTAGACTTTTTAAAATTTGACCCCTCATTTTCAGGTGTAAGTTTATATAGATTTCTATCCCCATGGTAGTTTAGATAAAAATTACTCTAACAATAAAGATACTATATTTATATATATATAGACAATCAATAAGTCTTAAATAAATATTATGATCCTAGAAGTAATAACCCATTAGGTAAGTCATTATTATGTGAATATAATTAATCAAACTTTAATTATTAACAGCGTAAAACTTAGTATATAGTTTTAAATCATACTGATATACTGATGATAAATTAAATATTACACTATCAAGTAATACAGATGAAGATTATTGGAATGAATAACATTTATTTAGAATTGTACAAATCTTAGTAAAGAGATGTTATAAAACATGCAAGACTTGTGATAATGATTAATTTAATAGTTGCTAATCATGCTATAATGATTAACCAATAAATAACAATGTTGTGTTGCTGAATGTCCAGATGGTTATAGTTATGATTTAGATTATATAAGTTATTTGGATAATAGTAAATATAAATTTAATTTTAGGATTGAAGCTTTGGTACTCATTAACATTATAGACTCAAACAGATAAAATAATAATAAGTTGTTATTTAGAGTAATATGAATAATTTAATGAATCCCTTATTGGTTTATTTTGAAAACTCTAATGTCGCAAATATAAGTAATTCTATAATAATTCCTTAATCTAATAGCAAAGCGATTATATAAATATTATAGAAGAATTAAATTAGAATAGAAGTTTAAGCACCAGTTAATTTAAATAAGTAAAATATAGAAATCCATTTTAATTAACAAATTTCAATTTAAGATGTGAAGATAGAGTATCTGATTTGCACAGAAGGTTGTTTATAATGTATGAATGAGGAAAGTTGTTAGAATTGCAATTCAACAACATTTAATTTTGAAGGTAGGTGTATTAAAATTTGTCCAAATTATACAATAACATAGATAGAACTTGTTATAATTTTAATTCTAATTTATATAGCTATAGTAATTTGAAAATATAGTATGTATTATAAGAGTTTTATGATCTTTCAACAACAAATGATCATATAAAAGAACTTTTTGAACTTGATTCATCAACAAGTACTTTGGATAAACATAATTTTTAGAAGGGATAAGAGATTTTTTTTTCATATCTACCAAATAAAAGAATATTTGGAGGTCCTTTTGTTTGGGTAAATGCTCGATTTAAATTTAAACTTAAGTTATCTAGTTAAAGATAAATTATTATTGTTAAATTTGAACTTTTGTAAGGTGATTATAATAAAAATAACAATCTTTTTCATTACTAAATTGATAACATGGATAAAAAAACAATTAATCTTTCATAAAATAATGGTAGTATGGATGATTAAAATTGGAACACCACATATATAAGTTAAAAAACTTTTATTAATTAATCAATATTTTTTGAATAATAGAATAATAATAATTTGAATATTTTTTTTGATTGTGTAAACAATGTATAAAATAATAATTATTCTTTTTGTGGAATAGAAAACTTATTTGTTGTTTCGTTAACCTGTTAAAATTAATAATAATTAAACCTTTATAAATATTATAACAATTAAAACCCTTGTATTTCTTATTGTGGAGATGGATTGATTTCATCAAATGAAGAAGAATGTGATGATGGTAATTTAGAACCATTTGATGGATGTTTTAATTGTAGATTCTCATGTAATGAATAATGTGTGATTTGTATTAAAGGTTCATGTCTTGAATGCAAATATGGATATTATTTAAATGAGATAAATAATATTTGTGAAACATAATGTGGAGATTCTATAATTGAAGGATTCGAATAATGTGATGATGGTAACCAAGACAATTATGATGGTTGTTCTTCATGTTTATCGATAGACTATTAGAAATGTGAATAAGAAGAACATAAATAATTAAATAAATGTTCATTCTGTTATTTTGGTAGGTGTTTACAATGTGCTGATGGATATATATTAGATGATGGTATTTGCGTTTCATTTTGTGGAGATGGAATAGTAAATAAATTAGATGAAGAATGTGATAATCCTAATGATATTGGTTGTATAGATTGTAGAATATAAAAAGATTATGTTTGCATTTAATTAGCTTTATCAATTTGTAAGACATGTGGTGATTATTGTACTTCATGTAAAACATTTAAATCTTTTGATGTTATTTGTGAATCATGTTAAGCTGGTTATTATCCTGTTAATGATTAATGCCAAAAATGCGATTCTAACTGTCTAACTTGTTTAAATCAGTCATTTTTATGTACTTCGTGTTTCAGAGAAGATTGTTAAAATTGTGAAATTGTTGATGGTCTTTATGCAGATTAGAAATCTAAAAAATGTATTTCTAAATGTGGAGATGGAATTGCTGTTCAATATTTTGAACAATGTGATGATGGAAATATTAAAAATGGAGATGGATGTAATCAATTTTGTGAGTTTGAATTCACTGATTCTGAATTTCAAGACCTATCTTAATGGTCTCTAACTAAATAAAATACTTATGATCTTAAATTAATGAATACTTCTAATTATAATCTTAGCTTACTCTGTAATACATCAGAGATTTCTATTCATAATTTTACTATTAATGAATTCAATTACAATCAAACTAAAATTGATGGCATGTGCAAAATTGAATTCGAATTCTTAAAAAATATATATACCTATAATACTATTCAAATTACTATTCGAATTGATATAGCAAATACTAGATTACTAACTGAAAATAATAAACCAAATGTAGTTTATAAAATATCTCCTAAAGAATAATTAATATTATCAGATTAATAAAAATAATAGACAGAATCATTTAATGTAATCTAACAATCATTCAGTTTAATATTTATTATTTTAATTCCAATTTCAATTGTCACAAATTTGTTTGATTATTTATGGTCAGTTTTAGAAATCTTGAGTTGGATTAATAATTTTTACTTTATCAATGTTAAGTATCCATTTAATGTTGAAATCGTTTTTTTAAATAGTGATTGGTCATCACTTATTAATTTTCCAACTTATTAAGGTTTCAATTAACCAGATTGTGATTACTATTTTAAGGCACCCATAAGATTTTAAAATAAAGGCATAGATCCCCTCTTTATTAACAATGCCCAAGTTCCCTTTATGTTTATATTAACTTCAATTGCACTCTATATAGTAAATTACATATTATTACTCTTTTTCAATTATCTCAATGTTCTCTTAAGTAAATAATATAAATTTAATTAAAAACACTTTAGTATCTTCAATTTATAGGCTATAAAAGAGAAAAAATAAATTTCGATATCAAATCAATAAGAAAACTAAGTTAAAATTGAAAACAATAAAATACTCTAAATCATTGTTAATTTATTAAGTAAGAGCTCAAACCAGTTTAAAAATAAAATTAAATAAACCATATCTTTGTGTTTATTAGATATTACACTAGCTTGTATGCTTTAATTTACTTTTTCTAAACCTGAACAGCATTTTATTGTAGCAATTAATTAATTATTAGCTTGTTTATCAGTACTCCTTATAATATTTTAATTGAATTAATCATATTCATTATTAAGAATTCACAAACTCTTGGCAGAAAATAAAATATTCAAAGAAAAATATGAAATATATTATGAAAATATCAATACTGATGATTGTTTTGGTTATTACTATAATTTAATTGGTTTGTTAAAAAAGATATTTTACATTTTCTTTATGGTGTTCTTTTATTATATACCAATACTTTAAGCTCTATTTTGTTTTATCTCTACATCCATTGGATTTGCTCTTATTTGCTATAAGAATCCTTACACAACTAAATCATAATATGTTCTATAATTAATTTTAGATCTAAATTTAAGCTTAATTAACCTTATACTTGTAATTTTTTCATTTTATGATTATTCAAATTATCAATATATCAAGGACAATATTGATACCTTAGGCTGGATAATTATTTCATTAATCATATTTTCAATTTTTCTTGAAATTTGTTCCCTCTTATATGGCTTATTAAAATATTTTTATTAAATTGTTTTGATTTTGAAAAGTTATTATTAGAAAACTGACTTAAATAATGGGATAACGATTAATTAATCACTGTCAATTCAAGAATAGAAATAAATTATATAATAAGATCAATTTATCGAAAACAAAAAATAATGAAGAATAATATTCTGTCCAAATTGAATTTATTTGCAATTATATACACATGAAATTTTAATCATATATCCTTTTAAATATTTTTTATATATCTATCAATTATTAATACAAGGATATATACAAAATATTTATATCTGCTACTAAAATTCTTGTTTTATGTTGCTAATAGTATTAAGGATTATAATAATCGCGTAATTATTTAATAGTTAATTTCATATTTTTATAGGTATCATACGAAATTATCAATTTAATTCTAATTCTAGAATATTGTTACTAATTTTTTCTATATTTATAATAGATTAGTTAAATATAATAATCACAACGCAATTGATCATTTAGAAAAATCTTTTTACTTTAAATTTAATTAAAATCTAAAACCCATCTGCAAGTTTATCAAATGTTTTTTTTTAATTTTAAGATAAATTACTGATTATTTTATTTCAAAAAGTTTCTACAACAGTCAATATATCTAAATAAATTAATTAAATATAAGATTTAATCTTCTATATTTATTAGAATTATAAACCTTTTATTTGGTTTCATTTTATTACATAAAATTTTCATTTAGGATAAAATAGCAAATTTATTATTTGGTATAATATTTTCTAATTTTATATAAATTAATTGTTATTTTCTATTTCTCAAAATCTGCATGAATTTTAAAACTCAATATAAATATATTCAACCTAATAAATGAATTTTCAATATATAATAATAAATTATGATCTATGTTTGTTTAAATGAATAAATAATTTTGTTTGAATCAATTTTCTGTAATTCTAATTATCGATTTTAAGATCATTTATTATTTTCAAATGATACATTTTTATTAACAAAAAAAGAATTCTTCTACATGGTAAGTTTTAATGAAAATCATTGCCATTTCCTTACAATTCTTTTAATTTGTTATTACTATCTCAATACGCTTTTTTTAATTAAAAATAGTTACCTTCATAATTTCTATATCAAAAATTTTTAATTAAACAACATTAACAATTTGAAAATTTTACAATAATAGGCAGAAAAATTAAAATAAATTAAATTAAATTTTTAGTTCATATCATTATTTGATATGATAATTTACTTATTTTTCTGTCTTTTTTTTAAACAAAAATGTTTCTCTCTATTTGATGAAAAATCTTTTAATTTAAGGTTTTTTTTGATTTATTTTTCAACTTTAAAGCTAAAATTTTTAATTAGCCATATTTTATTAAAATAGCTGATTATTAAATCGCTAGTCGAAGATTGTAAAAGTTAATCAATTCTAAAACTTATAGCAGAATCGTAATTAATTTTATGTAGATACTAGAATTACATTTTTCATCTCCGATTGAAATTATATATATTTGATTGGTACTTAATTTATTTTTTTATAATTTTTAAAAGATTCCATGATGATTATACCAATACTAATAATTCTATAAAAATATCACTATCACAGTAGCGTGTTATTAGTAATTTAATTTAATAACTATAGAAAAAGTAAGGACTAAAATTTCAATTATAATAAAAAGTTTTGCATAATAAGGAATTTTTAAATTTTTTGTATATTTTCTTGATGAAAAATAAAAATAACTTGAATTATTATCTTGTTGAATTTGAAATTGTATCTTATAAAAATAATTAAATTATATATATTTTCAAGTTACTTATAAATAATAAGCTTTCCTTTAAAAATATAAATTTGATTTTACTTTAACTTCTTTAATTGTAATTAAATACTTCTAAATCATTAAATTATATGAAAATAATAAAAAATATATATCATACAAATTCAATATAATTTTAGATATAATTTCTGTATAAAAATAAATTTAACATCAATCTTAAAATAATTAATAAACTCTATATAAATGTTGTTAGCTGATCCAAATTACTAAAAACTTACCATCCTAGGTTAAATTGCCAAAAAATGAAAAATTCTCAAATTGGATAGGTTCTTCAATTTATGTTAATTGGCTATTTTCATACTTAAAGATATTCATATAATTATGATGTTTGATTATTAATATTTATTTCTTTCTATTAAAAATAAAGGGACATAAACACATATAATCAGCAAACTCAATTGCTTTAAGATTGATTTATTAATCTTTTTTCTCGACAAAAATATTATTTTCTTAATGAAAAATATGAATAATTCCTTTTTAAATTTACTTCCATGTAATGGTATCTTTATCTAAATAAATTATTCTTTCTCCACTATCATCAACCGTCTTATTTACAAAATATTTGAACTACCATTTCTTATTATTATCTTATTCCCATATTATTATTTTTTTATCTGAACTACAGGAGACCATTTAAGATTCTTCTTCGTTAATACTTATCTAGCCTACTTATTTCTTATGTTTGTGTAATGTTTAGTTTAAAGAAAGAGAATTTAAATCCTTACTTACCAACCAAATTTTTATTGAACCATCTAAATGACTAGAAAAAAGTTAATCTTCATTTTTATTCAAATAGAAATTGAAAACTTCAGATCCAGAATTACAAATACATGTAGATTCCCATTATTATTCATTTATTTACTTCCATATAATTATATTTTGATCAAATCCTCCTGATATAAACCATTAACTTATTTTACTATAAACTAAGCAATAAACATTTTGTTAATGTCCTTTCAAAATTATGGAAGTATCATATAGTTAATGATTAATAAAATTCCAAACTTTAATATCCTTATTAATTGTACTAATCATAATTGAGTCTGAATTATTAAAAACTATTGCTTAACAACAAAAAAATTAGTAAATTTCCTAAATTATTTTATATTTTTTATGATGATTAGATTCCTATTACTGAACAAATTGGACACCAGGATTAAATTAAATTACCTAATT